CCGGACAAGCCATACTCCCCATCGGTGTTGCCTCAGCCTCGGGGACCTGCTCGCTCCTCCTCCCCGGGTAGCAAGCCCACCTCCCACCACAGCGGGGGCAGCACGCCAGCCCCGCGCCAGGCCGTGTCAGGCCGCGCGTGTGCACGTGGAGGGGAGAAGGTGTTTGGCATCAGGGGCTCCTGGAAGGCGGGTGGCAGACACGCCTGTTCACCTGGAGCGTGTTGTAAAGCATGTAGACACCCGTGTGTCTGGAGCGTGTTGTAAAGCATGTAGACACCTGTGCGTCTGGAGCATGTTGTAAAGCATGTAGACACCCGTGCATCTGGAGCGTGTTGTAAAGCATGTAGACACCTGTGCGTCTGGAGCATGTTGTAAAGCATGTAGACACCCGTGCATCTGGAGCGTGTTGTAAAGCATGTAGACACCTGTGCGTCTGGAGCATGTTGTAAAGCATGTAGACACCCGTGCATCTGGAGCGTGTTGTAAAGCATGTAGACACCTGTGCGTCTGGAGCATGTTGTAAAGCATGTAGACACCCGTGCATCTGGAGCGTGTTGTAAAGCATGTAGACACCTGTGCGTCTGGAGCATGTTGTAAAGCATGTAGACACCCGTGCATCTGGAGCGTGTTGTAAAGCATGTAGACACCTGTGCGTCTGGAGCATGTTGTAAAGCATGTAGACACCCGTGCATCTGGAGCGTGTTGTAAAGCATGTAGACACCTGTGCGTCTGGAGCATGTTGTAAAGCATGTAGACACCCGTGCATCTGGAGCGTGTTGTAAAGCATGTAGACACCTGTGCGTCTGGAGCATGTTGTAAAGCATGTAGACACCCGTGCATCTGGAGCGTGTTGTAAAGCATGTAGACACCTGTGCGTCTGGAGCATGTTGTAAAGCATGTAGACACCCGTGCATCTGGAGCGTGTTGTAAAGCATGTAGACACCTGTGCGTCTGGAGCATGTTGTAAAGCATGTAGACACCCGTGCATCTGGAGCGTGTTGTAAAGCATGTAGACACCTGTGCGTCTGGAGCATGTTGTAAAGCATGTAGACACCCGTGCATCTGGAGCGTGTTGTAAAGCATGTAGACACCTGCACGGCACCAGGGCCCGGGACACAGTGCGCTTTGTGTGAGAAGCACAGAGTGACCCGCACACGCAGAGGCTGTGGTGAGAGCAGCGGTGCCGAGCGTGGCGCCGGCGACCTTTAAGGAAGTGCTTTCGTTTAACCTGTGGAGGAGGGATCCATCAATGCCGTCCCTTAAGGGGACCCCGCCAGGGCCAACTGCCAGGCTCACGCGTGGCCTTTCCACAGTCTCTCCTTTCCCTCCTTCTGCTCCCCTTCAGCCCCCAATGCATGTAGACGCCCGTGCGTCTGGAGCGTGTTGTAAAGCATGTAGACGCCCGTGCGTCTGGAGCGTGTTGTAAAGCATGTAGACGCCCGTGCGTCTGGAGCGTGTTGTAAAGCATGTAGACGCCCGTGCGTCTGGAGCGTGTTGTAAAGCATGTAGACGCCCGTGCGTCTGGAGCGTGTTGTAAAGCATGTAGACGCCCGTGCGTCTGGAGCGTGTTGTAAAGCATGTAGACGCCCGTGCGTCTGGAGCGTGTTGTAAAGCATGTAGACGCCCGTGCGTCTGGAGCGTGTTGTAAAGCATGTAGACGCCCGTGTGTCTGGAGCGTGTTGTAAAGCATGTAGACGCCCGTGCGTCTGGAGCGTGTTGTAAAGCATGTAGACGCTTGTGCGTCTGGAGCGTGTTGTAAAGCGTGTAGACGCTTGTGCGTCTGGAGCGTGTTGTAAAGCATGTAGATGCTTGTGCGTCTGGAGCGTGTTGTAAAGCATGGAGGACGTGTGCACATGAGAGCTGCAGGTGAGTCACATGTTGGCGTGAAGGGTGGGTGTGCGAAGTGCCTCCGTGGCCGAGCTGCGCTGCGTGGTCAGCAGTGTGCAGTGGCGATGGGGTTTCCGTGCCGGTTCTCCTGGGAACGCCCGGACCACGGGCTCTTTCTGGCCTCTCCCTTCCCTGGACCCCGACCAGGAGCGAGAGCGAGGTGAGCGGCTTTGAGAAGCCACAGCACCTGCCCAGGTGCCGGACCAGCTGGTGCCCTTCACTCACCGTGGGCCCCGTGAGGCCGCTTCCGGCGCCGACTCCCTCCGGCCGCGTCTCAGCAGTGGTGTGTCCTCCCCGCCAGGCGCCAGGCGGACGGGAAATGGCACACACGTGTCCGAGGTCGGCGTGCCGGCTCCGTGAGGAGTGACCGTGCGAGCCCAGGACAGGAAGAGGCCTCAGAACAGCTTCATGTGAAAGAGCCACTTGGTGCCGCGGCCCGAGGCCGGCCTGGCTCTGCTCGCGCTGGGACCAGGGAGGCGGCCGCCGGGCCTTTCACAAGGGCTTCCTGCCCTGGGTCCACCCGTCACGTGATCCACCTGGACTTGGGTTGGTCTCTGCAGCTCCTCCATCACTTTGGCCTGGGCCTCGTACCTCGTGCTGGTTCCTTCACTCAGTGACCCGTGTTTGCTGTGCGCCTGCCGCACGGCTGCCACCCAGGCTGGGGCAGGTGCCACCCAGGCCGGGGCAGGTGCCGTGTGCAGGTGTGGTCCGTGCTCTCACGTTACCGTCTGGCAGTTTCATGGATTTGCATCTTACATTTCGGCCTGTGATCCATTTTGACTTAATATTGGTGAAGGGCGTGCGGCCTGTGTCCAGCTTCATGTTCTGCACGTGGCTGCCCAGTGGCGCCAGCACCGTGGGCTGAGCGCACGGTCTCCGCTCCTGTGTCCGAGCTGGGATGGCCGTGGTTATGGGTCTGTTTCTGGGCTCTGTTCATCCCGTTTGTTATGGGTTCACTCAGTGAGATAGACCACCGACTCAGAATTTAAATTTAAGAGCCTTTATTAAGCTGGCCAGCTGACCACAGTCCCAGCACCCTGCCGAAGCAGAGGCTGAACTGCAGCCCTGACTGGAAGAGTTACATTTTATTATTAAGTTCTGTGGAGGCTCTGTCCCCTTCCTGTAGCTGCGGCCAGCAGTGAGGTGGGTCAGCCTCCGCCCTGTCCCGTCAGTGCCTCTGTCCCCTTCCTGTAGCTGCGGCCAGCAGTGAGGTGGGTCAGCCTCCGCCCTGTCCCGTCAGTGCCTCTGTCCCCTTCCTGTAGCTGCGGCCAGCAGTGAGGTGGGTCAGCCTCCGCCCTGTCCCGTCAGTGCCTCTGTCCCCTTCCTGTAGCTGCGGCCAGCAGTGAGGTGGGTCAGCCTCCGCCCTGTCCCGTCAGTGCCCCTGTCCCCTTCCTGTAGCTGCGGCCAGCAGTGAGGTGGGTCAGCCTCCGCCCTGTCTCCCGTCAGTCTCTGTCCCCTTCCTGTAGCTGCGGCCAGCAGTGAGGCGGGTCAGCCCTCCGCCCTGTCCCGTCCGTAGGTGGTGATGACCGTGGGCTTTGCCTCCACAGCCATGTGAGGCTCCGTCTGTGGGGTCACAGCGTGACTCGCGGGGTTTGCTTCCTGTGTGTTGAGCCTGTCGGTGGAGATGGAGGCACTGGCTCCGACAGCGTTGCCTCCTCCTGCCCCCGGACGCGGACGTTCTCCTTCCGTGCCTGCTTCTCCCTCCGCGTCCGGCGTCAGGGGCGTGTGTTCTGTTTGATGCCACCCGAGCGTCTCACGCTTGGAGACGCCAGTGCAGCTGGGCCTGTGTTCCGTGCCAGGCCCCGCTGTCCATGCGGCACCAGGAAAGGGGCTGCCCTGTCGTGCGACCCCCGCAGCCTGCGACCTCGCCACCGTCACTTCTTCGTTCCAGGAGGTTTTGGGCGATTCTTTCCACTTTCTACAGAGACGATCATTCCATCGGAGCAAGGAAGTGACGCGTCTCTCTCTCCACAGTCGGTGCATTTCTCATCTCCTTTTCTTGTCCTGTTGCCTTGGTGAGGCCTGCGTGGTGCTGAGTGCAGTGGTGACAGGGCGTCTGCCCCTCCCTGATCGGAACGGGAACCCTCCTGCTCCTCCCACTCGGCACCAGGTGGGCTGTAGGTGTTGTAGGTGGTCCTTTCCGAGTCCGGGACTGGGCTCTCCCTGGTTGGCTGAGCTTTCGTCGTGGTTGGGGGTTGGGTTTTGTCATGCTCCTGCTGAGTGTATTGATAGGATCGCGAGATCGTTGCGTTTAGCCGCTGATTGATTATATTAATTTAATTTTCAACCAACAGTGAAACAGCCTTGCCTGCGTGGGTTTTGTTAGGTTTTGAGACCATAAAACACATGCAGTTAAGCTTGAAGGAATCCTAGGGTCGAAATTTCTCCATTTCCTGACTCAGTCTTCTCTTCAGATGGACAGGAAAACGAAAGTGAACAGTCATCATATTTCTCCATCCACCTGCGTGCCCTGGCATTCCCCCAGGACTGGTCACTTTAAAAGTGAGGCCCTGGCTGGTGTGGCTCGGTGGATAGAGCGTCAGCCTGCTAAAGGGCCCCGGGTTTGATTCCCATCAAGGGCACATGCCTGGGTTGCGGCCTCAATCCCCAGTGGGGGGCGTGCAGGAGGCAGCCGATC